GTATTAATTTCTTATATATATATATATATATATATATATATATATATATATATATACACACACACTACTGCTCAAAGTTTTGGGATCAGAAAGACTTGTAATGTTTTTTAAAGAAGTCTCTTATGTTCATCAAGGCTGCATTTATTTGATCAAAAAAACAGAAAAAAAACCCAGTAATCTTGCAAAATGTTATTACAATATAAAATAATGGTTTCTATTTGAATATCCTTTAAAATATAATTTATTTCTGTGATGCAACGCTGAATTTCCATCAGCCATTACTCCAGTCTAAAGTGTCACATGATCCTTAAGAAATAATATTCTAATATGCTGATTTACTATTAGAAGAATTATCAATGTTGGCAACAGTTTTTTTTTTTGAAAAACAGAATGGTTTGGCTTCAGTTTTGTGAAACTATAAATAAAAATATCTGCATGAAACAGCGGAGCTGAATGAGATGCAGATTCACTCTCTGCCAGCAGGTGGCGCTTAAAGCATTTCCTTGGTTTCCGCTGTAAACAAAGCAGCGCTGAACTTATGAACTTTAATATGCGTTATACAGAGGCAAGATGAAAAGAAAAAAATACCATCTAAACTTTTATAAAGACAGTAAGTTCCCCTCAGACATGCATTCATATAAACTCCTACACCTAAATGAATCGCGATTTGTTTAGCATCTCAACCGATTTGAATCGTCACATATTTGAATCGAATCGGCTCGCGGTTAATCGTTACATCCCTACCGATCCGATACCAGCAGAGTTTTTTTTTTCTATCCACCTTTTTCTTCAAAGCGAAAGTAAGCCTATGGGTGAAACTTCCAGTTCAATAACGAGGAGAATGGACTCTGTGCACAAGCGTAGCGACGAACTTCCGCTGTCGCCAGAAGTCGGGATATCAGTTTCCGGTTTTCATTCGCGTCGCCCAAAATGTCAGTATTTTCTAGATGTCTCAGAGATCTACAAGTAAGAATCAGCGATGTCCATTGTATCGTTAATGCCCGGTTCCCTGCTCCAATACGCAAGCGAAACAAGGGATTCAAACGAAAATTGTATTAAACTTCTCCCCCTCTCAGTTTTTAATAAAGATCAGGCACAGGTGAAGTCATTGTCTGGTCATTGTGCTACAGGTCCATTTACGCTTGTGCACAGAGTCTATAGCAACGTGCAGTAAACAGTAAAACTGTTTGCACTACAAACCAGTGTGTTCATAATTAAGATAATACATTAAAATAATATGATAAGACACACCAACTTTCAATATCAAGCAGCAAAATGAACTGTTTTGTTCAGCTAAAAATAGCTGTAAGGAGTGGACGCAGCAAGACCCATAGAATTTACAAATTCATCATCACTCTTTTGTGTAATATACACAATCAACTAGACAACTTCATTATAAAGAAAAATATATAAACAATCTATGAGAAAAATACTATTATAAACTAGGTTAGTGGATAATTCAGCAGCAAAAGTTACTCTACAAAAATTATGAGTTCACAATAATTTTATAAAATCTAAACATTTAAAGAAAAAACTTATATGCAATAAATTAAATACATTTCTTTTACATTTATAGCACAGTAATGAGGCAGCAACATATGACAGATAAGACTATTAACAAGCTTTCATTGCGCAAAATTATTATAATAACATTAGGGATGCACGATATATCGGCCACCATATCGGTATCGGCCCATATCGGCTCATTTTTTCTGTTATCGGTATCGGCCTGATAAGAAAATTTGGCCGATATCTTAAAGCCGATAAATAATGCATTATTTCCTTCAGAGACACTTCAGATGCGCGCTGTTCGTTTGCAGCCTTTTGTGCAATTGTACATTGTAATATTGTGTTTATTTGATGTATATCTGATTTATCTCATATAGAATGCGTTTGGTTAAGTTAAAAGAGCGCTTCAGTTTACCGGTGATCGTCTTTAGCTCAGCGCACGCAGCTCAAACAGCAGTGCACAACATTAATAACTATGATTGGGAATGTCGTGTATATAACATTCTAATGAGAACATTATTATAATAAAACGTTGTGCATTCTTTGGGTTTAGTTGCTGTGTTTCAGCGCGTTGTTATGGGAAGAGCGCATCCACAACAGGATCACACATTCTGACTATAGCATGCAATAACTGCGTCATTTTGTACATATATAAGTTGTAATATTATGTTTATGTTGTATTAATATTAATCTCAGGATGCATTTCCTTGAGTTAAATAAGCTGCCAGCAAAACGCTTCAGTTTACCGTGTTCATTCAGCTCTTCAGCTTCAGCTTGAGCTGCAGCTCAATGGCTGCTATTTAAAACAGTGGTATTAATTTGTTACTTTTTCAAAATCATTGATATATTATTAATAACAACAACCACTTGTATTTTTCTCTTATTATTTTCATCAACAATATGGTTTAGTAATTAAAATCATTTAATTATTGTCCGTGCAGAGGCTATTCCGTTTTATTGATCTGTGGCGCATTCATTTTGATTCTTTACACGTGTAATGATGTCCAGTGACTTGTTTGCATTATTTATGCATAATTTTATTTATTTGTAAGGCTTTTTTATGACTAAATTTGGTAATGGGAGAGTAAAATTATTTTTTAAACGTACACCGTTCAAACTAGGCTGCTTATGTTGAAGTGTTTGGGATGTGGCTTTTAATGATGAGACCTTTTTTGTAATCAGGCTCTCAGAAAGTATATAACAATTTGGATATAGATTTATCGGCCAACATATCGGTTATCGGCTTTCAAAAATAAAGAATAATCGGTTATCGGTATCGGCCAAAATTTTCATATCGGTGCATCCCTAAATAACATGAAAGGCTCCGATACAGAGCGGCACAAAGCGCTTATGCGCATCCGGTGCAC